ACTACTATCATCCTTGATTTGAACAAAGAGTGATACGTCTGTCTTCGATTCTACATACCCAAGTTCGAGGAAGCAGTTCTTAAGTTTTTCATTCCAGTTCCTCGGGGCTTGTCGAAGACCATAGAGGGCCTTTTTCAACTTACACACCAGTGGAGTTCCATCTTCAGCACATTGCACAAACCCGGGTGGCTGATACATGTACACAACCTCGCTCAAGTCACCATTTAAGAAAGTGTTATTAACATCTACCTGTCGAAGTGCCCATCCTCTTGTAACTGCCAATGCTAGAAGAACATAAACTGTAGGAAATTTTACAACCGGACTGAATGTGTTATTAAAATCGAACCCTGGAACTTAAGTAAACCCTTTTTCCACCAACCTCGCCTTGTACCTATTCACAGAACCATCGGGATTTCTTTTTATCTTAAACATCCATTTACAGCCTATCACACTTCTATCAGCAGGTGGCAAGACAAGGCTCCATCTGTCATTCTGAATCAATGTTGAGTATTCAGCATGCACTTAATCAGACCACGGGGCAGACTGAAATGCTTCCTCAACTGTGGCAGGAACAATGTCATCAAAAAATGTGGTGTATACTTTGGGTCTAAAGACGACACACTTACTACTAGTTAACATAGGGTGACCAGTAGTAACCACAGCCCTTGTGCTTTCATCAGATGGTTGTGGCTCGTCCAGAGCCACTTCACCAGAACTAGACTTCTCAAATGTTACAACAGGTTCATCGGCAATACTCGATCGTGCATGACTGTGTGTAGACGTGTCTACAGTCAGATCAGAGAGTCCCGATTATCGAGCATTGGTATTGCACAGTTTGCTAGCATCAGCTACAATGTCAATGGCTCTGCTCAGTTACGAGTGAGCTCCTGACGGTTCAGCAACACTGTCATGAGCAAACGGAAAACACCATTCATCAAATTGCACGTGGTGAGACACCACTACCCTTTTATCAGGTGTGAGACACAGATACCCTTTGTGTTGAGGGCTCATTCCTAAAAATGTGCACGGCTGCGAGTGAAACTCAAGTTTATGATTGTTGAATGGTCGCAAATGGGGAAAACATCGACACTCAAATACTCTAAGTGAATCATATTCAGGCTTTTTGTTGAACACACACTCAAATGGGGGTTTTCCAGGTAGTACCCTCGAAGGTAGCCTATTAATTAGATGTACAGCCATCACCACAGCATAGGACCAGTAGCTGATCGGCATGGATGCCTGTGCAAGCAACACCAGATACAGCTCAACCACATGACGATGTTTGCATTCCACAACACTGTTCTGCTCGGACGTGTGAGGGTAAGTAACATGGTGAGATATACCAGCCTCTGCAAGCACGCGAGACAGTCGACGATACTCACCGCCCCAGTCGCTTTGTACTACCAAGACTTTCAATCCAAATTGTGTTGTAACAAGCTGCTGAAACAACACAAAAGCCTGTGTAGCCTGAGATTTGTCTTTAAGTAAGTATAGCCATGTGTGGCGTGTACAAGCATCAACAAAGCTTACATAGTACCTATAACCATTCGAAATAACAGGCGATGGCCCCCATATGTCAGTAAATACAAGTTGAAAGGGAGAATCATACTTAGTAGACGAGTCGGAGAAAGGGAGTTTATGGCTCTTTCCCATATGACAAGCAACGCAATTTTCATTAACTGTTTGTTCAACATTTACATCTAAGAGCTTGCATATTTTCTCGAGAGTGGCATGAGCAGGGTGCCCAAGGCGCCTATGCCACAGCTCATACACGTGATTTGAAGAAAAAAGTTTATTAGCTATAAGGAAAGTGTTCATATTATGGCTATCATCGACTTGAAATAGGTACAAACCATCCTTCTCTTGTCCCTGCAACAGCACATCACCCGTGGCTTCATTACGAACACAGCAACGTGATGCGTGGAACTCGAAATACACCTTGTTATCCTTAGCAAGCTTTGAGACGGATAGAAGGTTTTTAGTTACCTTAGGTACATGAAGTAGATCATTCAATAGTAAAACTCAAGAAGATGAACTCAAGACAGGGTTACCAGTGGCTTGAATTAGCATTAAATCACCATTACCGACCAGTAACTTACCTGGTCCTGAGAACTCTTTTGGACTGAAGACCTTGGTCGAATCAGCAGTCACATGGTGCGTAGCTCCCGAGTCCAACACCTAGTGGTCCCTCGTGCTGGAAGCAATATGAGTTTGTGGCTAGGAGGAGTAGCATACCTGCGCTTCAGGCTTGACTTTAGTGCAACATACACACTCTCTTACATCAAGAGAAGATGATTCCAGACTGGTGCAGTTTATTGAACCCGAGCCACCTCGACTGAGAGGTCGCTCAGCCGACCGACCAGTGAACGTTTGATCGAACCTGTACCAGCAATCAACAACAAGATGGCCGTTCTTGCCACACAATTGGCATTGTACCCGTGGCCGACCACGGCCCCGTCCTCTAGTCTGACCTCCAGCACTGGTTGCAGATCTGCCAGAAGATCGATCATGATACACATGGCTAGTAGCCTTTGAACTAGAGCCAGACTGAGCAAAGTGAGCGCTCATCGGTAGAGGCTCTTCTTGAGAATCAAAACCTGCAAGTTGAGTTTCTGCATCGATTAACATCGAGCATATCCTGTCGAGGGACAATGCATCTTTCATGGTAGTTATGAACGCAATATAAGGTTGGTAGTCTCGGGGAAGACCTTTGAGGATGCTCGCAACCTGTTCGGCCTGAGGTATTGCATTATCGCACGAGTCTAAGGCATCACACACCTCTTTGATGCGAGTGAGATACGTGCGCATGTTGTCACTGCCTTTCTTCAGTGACTGAAGTTTATAGTGCAGGCTAATGACCGTCGTGGTTGAATGGTCAGCAAAGAATTACAGCACCTTGCTCCAGACCGTCGCTGCCGTCTCCGCTCTAACAAACTGGGATAGCAAATGGGGGTTGATCGTGGACAACAACCAGGAGGCAAGTGCACTGTCTTGTGCAACAAACTACTCATACAGCTCATTCACCACCGTATCGCCATTCTCATCCTCGACTGTTTTAGGAGGTGGACACGCCGCTCCGGTTAGTAACCGTTCTAGCCTGTGACTGCGAACGGTTAGCAAGATTTGATGTTTCCAAAGCAGGAAATTAGCCTCATCAAGGATGACATTAACTTTCTTGTTCGTGAAAATCTTCCCAGCAAGAACCTCCATGACAACGAGCTTGGCACAGCGGAAAGAAAACCTCAGAATTGTCTAGCGTCTGATACCATGTTAGAAAAGGTAGGACTTGCAGCAAATCATATAACAGAAACGAGAAGAATAAATAAGTATTTTCTTATTGATTATTAGCTCACATTGCTTCAACTTACACCTTGTATTTATTGCATATTTGTAACAACCTTAACAGCCTAACAATCCTAAACCGTTTCCTAACAACCTCCCTATGATGGTTATCACCATTCATCACCATCATTCAGTTTACATGCATAGTATACATGAGCACTCTAGCTCTTGTGCATACACAATATTAATTATCTCAACAATGGCCATAATAATACTTGACTATGGATCTTCTAATAATGTTATTTTATGGACTTTATTATCTTTCAGTTTATGTTAAACACGGACATATAACTGAAAATAATATTGGCAATGCCTTTATTCAATAAAATCGGTAAATAAATGTATTATTATAATCATCATATGTTTGGTCTTTGGGCATACTCTAATAAGTTTATAGTGGAGTACAAATCATTCACAAGAATAATCCGTTCCATTACAGAGCCACAAATAAATGATTGAAAAACAACAAAGGAGAAAAGAACTCGCTGTTGTCGTGAGCATAATTGAACCACCCTGAACCGCCTTAGCAAGCTTGAAGAAAACAAAACCAGATTGTTTACTATTTTTTAATCTATGAAATTGAAACAAAACATACTTATGAAAACCGCATGCAATTATTCTGGTTAATCTCATTAAGGAAGCAAAGAGTAAAATAAATCCAACCCTAAATATAGTGGATGGTAATATTTTAAAATAATAATAAAGAATCAAGGGTCAACCATTAAGCGAAATCGAAATCGTGGATATTAGAATTGATGAGCGGTAAAATATGCATAACGAAATCATAATATAAATCTTAATATAAATCGATTCTTAATGATTCAATATGACAGGCGATAATATCACTTGTTATAACCAAATCATAAATACATATGAAGATTAAACCAGGATCTGATCATGCTAAATCATAAAGAATAAAATAAATACTAGATTTGCGGAAGCGTACCTAAATCCATTATTAAATATTAATATAAAGGTTGAAATCTTTGAATCTTTCTTTAGTTGTGAACTTCTAAGAATATAGAATTCTCTTAAGTATAAACTCTATGATAAGATAAAAGAAAATACGAGATATCTATTTCTTGGGGACCATACCCCCTATATAGCTTACTGAATCAGTTATTGTTTGTACTTTTAACATTGTTCCTCATTAATTATAAATACAATTTTAATAATATCTACATTTTTATTTTCATAATACTTCTAATACCTTATGACTTTATAACATAATTTATCACTTAAATTATTCATATTTTATAATAACAATATATATTATAAATATATGTTCACATAATTATAGATTTTAATCTAATAATAAAATCGTGAAACTCTCTTCATCAATCCTTATTTTTCATTAAATCTATCTCCTATAAAGACCGCGCTTTTCTAAGCCAGACTCACATTTTTTTTCCTCCATAATTCCAGTGACAAAAAGCTCAACGTATAAAGCTTTATTATTAAATTGAAACTTTTTGAATTACAAGTGATTAAAATGAGAGTGAAAAGAAAGTTGAATGATGATTTGTGTAGTTTATAAATAAATTACATAAAGATTGTGAATGGTGACGTGGGGGAGAGAGAGCAACACCCTATCCGCTTAGCTAGATCTTTCAATCGGATTTTGCATAACAACAAAATATTACAAACAAACTAAAACCATCTCAGATCCTCAACACAATCATTGTGGATAAACCCACCCTTAGTTTCTTCGCTTCACCGGTGAAAGGCCAGAGCTACTGAAAAATGGTTTCTTCGATTATATCTTTACATGCCAGGTTAGATCCCCAAAGCAATATTTCCCTTTCGTTTTTCATTACGTTAAATTGGGTATTTAGTTTCAAATATTATCGGGTGTTTTGAAAGATGGGTTCACGTGATTTCCTCCCCATTTTCTTAGCTAATTTTATTTGTTCTAATGTTGTTTTTGTTGAACTTAAGAATATATTTTAACCTTTAAAACTGTTAATGGAGCTTTTCTTTTAAATGGGTTCGTTTTATTCACTTCATTTTCGAGAGGAATGTTGCTATTTTGTGCAGCTATGGTGCTCTGGAATTTGTATAAGCTAATTCTGAGAAATTTTTGAACTGCAGAGGGGAAAACTTTAGTTGTGCTTCAAAACTTAAAATATATTTACATAATTCACTAATTTAAGGCAATGTTTTGTTTGTGATTTGATGAAGATTATTTTCTTATGGTGTTTTCACCAATTTGAGGTTTGCATTTTCGGGAGAGAAAAATGGGATTTGTATTTCCGGCGTTCCTATGACTCGCGTTTGTCCGGGAGAGCCAACCAAATGCTTGGGTTTTTCAGGTGATTGTTCCTACTTGATTGTTCGACAGTATATATTATGTTCAACATCAAATTTAACGCTTCAGTCGAGTGAATTGGCGGATACATAGATATTTTTTTTAAGTATATATATATATATAACATAAATTTTTCAAATGAAGTAGGTATTAGAGATTTAAATTTTCAGATATTTGATATTATCCGATTCAAAAATTTAGATCACTAAAATCCTGATTTGTATCCGATCTAAAAAAAATTGGATATTCATATTTATGAATATCTAAAATTTTAAATCAAATATTTTGATATTTGAATTCGAATATAAATTATGATTTAATAAAATATTTTATGATTTTATACAACATATTTTATATCTCTATCATATATATTTATCAAAATATTTTTAAATAATATCAAGACAAATTCTTAATATGTCATTTCAAAACTTAAACAAAATAAAGTAAAACAAATCAATAATCCACATTGATGCCTCTAGGTTAGAACACCAGAACTCATCTTTAAGGCAATGCAGTTGGTGCAACTGTACACGAATCAGGTTAGTCGGAACAGGTCTCTTTGAATAACGTACAAATAAAATTTCAAAGTAGATACTATCAATAAAATAAATAATTAATATAAAAAATCGAATTTCAGGATAAGTACGTGTCATATTTATATAATTTTAAAAATTTTATTTAAAAAAAAAACTTAAAAGTATATTTTTAAAAAAATCACAAGTTTTACAAATCTTAAAAAATCCCTAAAACTTTAAAAATCCTAATTTCAATCAACTTACCGCCACGAGCCGACCACCACTTCACCCCTAACATTGTCAAACAATGAAAACTCATCACCATCTATTGGAATTCCCTAAAATCCCAACACTTGCTGGCTGGGTGTTTATTCCCGACGTTGCATTAACATGGGAGATATAATTGGGAGTTCAGTCCCAAAGTTTTGGGATGCATCAACGCGCAACCTTGCACCAATACAAGCGTAAGAGTTTATTTATTACATTCCAACAGAGTTATATGGTACTGAATTGCTTCATTGTTATCCCAGGGTTCATTGTGAGGCCGGCGGCTGCAACACCAATTGCTTCAGGGAACAACCTCACCTGGCCATTCTTCAAACCCCTGCACTGCTCACTCCAGGTTGATGGTGGAGGAATCATGTGCGAGCCTTGTATTGGCAAAGGATGGCTGCTTTGTGATTTTTGTAAAGGACAAAAAACCAACGTTAAAGCTGACAACAACCGGATCTACCGCCGTTGTCCATCTTGTAGAGCTGTATGTATTCCCCCTCATATTGCCTTCCACGTTACAACTTATTATGAATCTGTTCCTTGCAAAATGATGAAATCAAAACCTCATTTAAAATTGCAATGCAGATTGGTTATGTGTTGTGTTCAAAATGCAAAGTCTTCAAATGTGTCACCTTCCCAAATGGTAGTGACGGTGAAGAGCTGACGTTCTGAGAACACCTTGCTATTTCTTTCTTTCTTTTCTTGTTGCTAGCTTATTCATCAAAGATTACGCAAGTTACATAAGGATGGCGGTTTGTTTGTCGTGAAATGCAATTTGGTTAGAACACTCAGAAGCTCCCCATGTCAGTCAGAATCTCAGATGGCTCCTTTGCTTCCTAGTAAATGGCACAAATGGAGTCACCAGTCTCAAATTGATGGCCTCAGTTGATGTAAAATATCAAGCTGCTGCACCAAAAAAATGGATCACCATCTGAACAAATTTCACTGTATTCTTGTTATGTGATACTGATATCCAGGTCTGTCCCAAATTATGTGTACCATGTGCTACTTTTTAAAACGAAGTCCCTATGATATTTTATAACATGTCGGAATTGTAAAATATTAAAATTTATCATATTATGAATGTTTCTTACAAAATAAAAAATTCCAAACATATGGAACTAAGACAATGTAAGAAAGCAACTCTATAATTGTATCATTTCATTTAAAAAGTATCACCGAACACTCTTAGAAGCAAAATCGTCAACCAAATTTAGGAACCCTTTGGACGCTTCACATGCCGCACTTATACATGAACCTGTCTGGTAATACCATGAAGATGATTTGCTAATTATCATCCATGAGCAATCAAAAATAATAATGAATTACGAAGGAATCAAATAAAATTCACTAGAATTGCATGTAAAGAAATCAATTGCAGGCATCATTTATCAGATAGAAATGGCTAAAAACTGCGAGAATGGCTAAACTAGTCAGCAGTAAAAGAATAACCAGATGTTCCTCTACTACCCTCGTGCTCACAGGTTTGATGCCTTGTATTTCTAAAATCACTGATTCACACTCCTTAGAAAATTTTGGTCACTTACGGTTTTCTTTATATCTCATTAAAAAATCTTTGGGTGATCTACTGAAATAATCACTTACCCCTTTATATTTGTATAATTTTGCTCATCAAATTCAAAAAACTTAACTTACATTATCGTTTTATTAAATTTTGGTTACTTAAACAATGTGTTTAGTTTAGTGACGTGACACGTTAGTAGAAGGGTTTAATTTTTATTTTAACCCCTAAAATTTATATAAAATATTAATTATGGAGATTTTTATAAATCCAAAGTAATTTAGGGACAATTTTAGTTTATCCCTTGTTTAGATATGCTTTTCTTGTTAATCTCTAGTTTTCCCGACTTGCATCACTCTTCTTTGTTAGCTTTATCGATCAACCGAAAATCGTTAAGAGGGAGTAAATTAGCCTTTAAAATTTTTGTGATGGAAGCAATCAAAATAAAAACTTTTGCACCACAATTTTAGAGTAGTTCAACTTTTAAATCAATTCTACATCCACTACCTTAGCATTCACACTAAGGATTTCTCAAATCCACTAGATTTGCTAATCTTTGGGGACAAGGTGTAACCTTATAACAACACACAAGGTTTATTCCCAAAACATTGCTTACACTCTCTCCACAAGAAGAAATACAAATTTAGCAAACAAAAGAAAATCTCACAAAGGCAAATATTTTTGAAAACAATAAGCACTCATTAAAATCACACTCGAACAAAATTAAACAAAGTAGTTCACAAGCATGTTACAAAAATATAACAATTTTTAGTTCAAGAACTCTTTTGAAGTTGATTTGATTTTTCAAAAATCTTTCTTGTTGTTCTCTATTTAACCTTAGTCCATTTTTTGTCTTCTAATACCCTTCTAGTCGTTTGGAGCTGTTGGTGGTTGATTAGAGCCACTGGATTTATTAATTTTGAGCATTAAATGACCACTTGTAGCTTCGGTATCGATATCGAGTAGTGGGTATAGAAACCAAGCATCCCAACAGTAAAAAACTTAGTCGTTCAAACCTTAGGTATCGATACCGTTCTAGTGAGTATCGACACTCACTTATCAGTGTCGATACTAGCACCTTGATATCGATACTGAAAGTGTACACTGGAAAATGGGTATCGATACTGATATCGAGACTGAAAGGGATTTTTTGCCATAATCAATTATTTTAAGCTTTTAAAATATATATATATATAATACATAATGACTCCAAAACCTTTAATGTTATTTCTCACAATTAAAGATCACTTGAAAAATATTTTATGGCAAATTTTCATAAAATCTTAAAATATAAATTTTAAAAAACTAAAGTATTTAATAATTTAAGTTATATTAAAATCAAATATTAGTTGGATTATTGTTGTTCATCTTGTCATCGTTGTTCATATAACTAGAACATTTGAACGTATGCATTTACTTCAGCAAACAGTATAACTATCAATATGATACATACATGTTTTCTAGCTCTAGACCTTGCAGCTAATATAAAATTTAATATTGGTTAACACAAATAAATCTTAGGAATGACAACTAATAAAATAGACAGCTAATATAAAGGTCAATATTTTTTTAATTTATAGTAAATACAAGGTAATGTCTATATAAAAAGACAACACTCATTTATTTGAAACTGAATGTTCATACCTCTAACATTTTCAATTTTCAAACTCAAACTTTAAAAAATAATAACAATTCTCTTATCACTGAAGTCATTTGTCCGATGCTCATGCCTCAATTATCTTAATTTAGTACAGGTTAATACAAATAAAATTTTAGAAAGGACGTAGATAATTAATATAAAGATCGGTATTTTTTATTAATTTATAGTAAATAGATAGTATTTGTACAAAAAGATAATACTCATTTATTTGACATTGAATGTTTATATCTCTATTTTTTGTTTTTCTTTTTAGAAAAGGATCGACATGTTATTAAAAGCAAAACTAGCTATGTCCCAAACAAAAGCCAAAAAGCATGTGGCAAACTAACCATCATCCAAAAGAAAACAAAACAAACTAAAGGAAAAAGAGCAAAAGTAAATAAAACAAGCCAATCGGGCTTCTCCTTGCAACATGTAAAATGTTGAACAAGCACAGCAAGGGAAGATGAAGAAACTTCACCAAATAGAACCTGTCAGCAGCGAAGGCGAAACATAAAGAGCTACGGAGGATCCAGAAACCGGAAATCCTCAGTCACCTAAAGAGTTACTTGACTTGGGGCTTCCTCCACCCAAAAGATGTCTCCATCTCTAACCGATCACCAGCGAGTAGATGCATTGCCTGATTAGGGGCATAACGAAAGTCCAACGAGTGGAGAAGACCCGAGAGGCCTTTCGCTTTACTGATCCATCTACTGATTTATGATAAATCAAGCTCATCGGACGAAATTTTAAGAATCACTGATCGGCAATCTCCCTTAAACACTGCATGCATGAAACCAATGTCCACCGTGAGCTGCACCGCATGAACCATAGCCACCGCTTCTGCTCCAAAAGCTGAGGTAACACGATTTCCTTTTTGTCGACATGCATCCAAAATCTGACCCCCTATATTCTCGAATAATCACACCTGACCAAGATTTACTTTCTTCTGGCTTAAAATGGGCGTCAAAATTGACTTTGACAGTAGGTGCAATGGGGGGAGTCCAAAAAAGCCTCGTAATTTTGGGCGGTTCAAAAATTTACCTTGGCTGATCCAAAATACGTGCATTGGGATTTGATGAAGATAACAATATCTGTCACTTGTATTCTCTATCATTCATGGTAATGTTTGTTGCGTGCATACAAAATTGCCCAGATAGTTACTAAAATTGTCTCATGCATTAAACAAGGATTATTTGCAAACATCAAGCCATCCAATCATAACAAGTCCATTGATCATTGATATAAGAAAGTTGTAATTGTAGAGACTGCCAAATTGCATGCGTAAAATTACATCCATATAATACATGTAGAGCTGATTCAGGATATAAAAAACATATCGGGCTTGCAGGATCTTGGCTGGTGCGTTTACTGTAAAGGTTCTATCGAGTAAGAACGTAGTTCATAGCAAACTTCCAGCCCTGAATTCTCATTTTTGGTTGGCAATCACTAGCCCACATATTTTTAGAAAAGCCTCAAATTAACATTACCCTCCTGAGATAGAAAAAAAGTTAACCAATGCGAACACTGTAATGACCAGTCTTTTCACCACTCAACACGTGTATCAATTTGGTCAAAACGGGACAAAGGTATGCTTAAAATCACTTTCGTATTATTCTCAGTAAATAAATTTTGGATCACTTTCTCCTTCCAACCCCAAACCTCTCTATCAATTAAATCAAACACCCGAGCAATAGAATCATCTGGAGGACTAGAAAATTTACGCGGTGGAGAGCTAGGTAACCAATAGTCATTCCAAACAGAAATGGAATGACCTATTTTCCAAACGAAGTCCTTTTTCAAGAATACCTCGCGTACTCTAAATGCTACGCCAAGCATATGAAGGTCTTGCTCCAAGTGGCAAATGAAGGAAATCAGCCGAAGGGTAATATTTCGCGCGCATCAATCTACTGACTAGAGATGTTGGGTGCAAAAACAATCTCCAACACTGCTTCTCTAGTAAGGCAATATTGAATTTGACCAAATATCTAAAACCCATACCCCCGCGCTCCTTTAATGTATTAAATTTTGCCCACTAGCACCAATAGATCCCTCTTCTATTATCATATTTCTGCCACCAAAAGCGCGCCATGAGCCCTTCCAATTCAAAACAAAAACCTTTTACTCCTCTATGCTTCTGAATAAAAGAGTGAAAAAGTTCATAAGTCGTTCAAATATTATCCGAGATAAGTCTTCCGGGGCTAAAAGCACTCTGTGCCTCATCGATACACCCATCTAGCAGACTTTGCATCCGATTGGAAAATATCTTTGACACAATCTTAAATAACACATTACACAAGTTTATTGGTTGGTAAAGGGTGATTTTTCTCAGAGTTTGAATTTTCGGTATAAGAACAATATGCGAACTGTTAATTTCTTACATCGGATATTGTCCTCTTAGAAGCCCAATGCAGAAGTCGAAAATTGTCAGTTCGACTATATGCCAGAATCGTTGGTAAAAAACAACCCCTAGACCGACTTCCCCTGATGCCTTTAGAGGCCCCATAGCCTTCACCGTCGCATACACATCCTCATGAGTAAACTCCCAAAGCAATCGTGCATTCAAATCTGGTGAAATACAAGTATGAATCTCACTCAAAAACTCTTCCTCCACCATGTTACCATTAGAAGAGAATAATTCTTTAAAATAAGTTCTGGCACATTCTTCAATGGCAATGTCCCCTTCGAAAGAACTACCTCCTTCATTCTCAATCACCCTCATTCTATTTCGCTTCTTACGACTCGTAGCAAAACGATGAAAAAATGTAATGTTCTTATCTCCATCCCTTAACCAGTTCGCACGAGCCCCCTGCTCCCAGTAAATATCTTCCTTATCGTTTTCCATATTCAAATGAAGTTTCACGTCCATAATATCATCAAGCACCTCATTCGTCGGTTGGATCTCCATAAGCCCTCTTAATTTTTCTCGCAACTGATCATTAGTTATCCAGCGATCGTAGCGTAACTTCTTAAACCAGCTATCCCATCCTCGACACATTAGATTAAGCTTTTCCGATAAGTAAGCTGATGACAAACTCCGTAACTTGCGAACTTCTGCTTCGTAGGACTCATCCATCAACCATGATGCCTCAAACTTGAAATGCAAAAACCGATGGTCCTAAAGCGAATGACTGGTGTGTAACAACAAAGGAAAGTGATCTGACATAGAATGAACTAAATGTTGAAGATCAAAATGTGGAAAAAGGTTCCACCAGGCAGAGTTTGCAACCCCACGATCCAAATGTTCCCTGATGTTTGTCTCAGCCCGCCTATCCCTTTCCCAAGTGAACCAAACACCCGTATAGCCCCCATCTTGACGACCGGAATCCTCTAAAGTTGTACGAAAATTCAACATCTTTCTGTCACTATGCAACTGACCACCTGATTTCTCATACAAGAACATAATCTCATTGAAATCTCCAAAAACTAACCAAGGAACATCCGGACAATCATCAAGCTGTCGAAGAAAATTCCAGGACATACCTCTAATTTTTTCAATGTTCAAACTTAAACCTTAAAAAATAATAATAATAATAAAAGATAACACCCATTTATTTGATATTGAATGTTCATACCTCTAATATTTTCGATGTTTAAACTCAAACTTAAAAAATTAATAATGATTCATTTATCATTGAGGTTTCTTGTTCGGTTCTCATACCTCATTTATTTTAATTTGAATAAAAAAAAATTCTTAAGGCAGGTCATATTATCTTTGCGTCATTCTTTGTTATCTTTTCATCGCTGGTCATGTAGCAAGAACATTTGAATGTATGCATTTACTTCAGCAAACGGTATAATAATCAATATGATACATACATGTTTTCTACCTCCAGACCATGCAACTAATATAAAATTTAGTACGGAATTAATAAAAATACATTTTTTTTAAAAAAATTAAGAATGACATCAATATTAAAATAGACAATTAATATAAAGATTAATATTTGTTTATTAATCTATAGTAAATACGAGATAATATCAATATAAAAATAAATCTCATTTATTTAAAAATAAATATTCATATTCATAATATTATATTTTTAATGTTAAACTCAAACCTTAAAAAATAATAACTATTTTATCGCTAAGGTAATTTATCCTGTACTCATTTATTTTAATTTAAATAAAAAATATCTTGAAGCAGGTTGCAAAGCCCATTAAATCTTGTGGTGGTTATTTGAAGCTGAGAAAACATAGCAGCAATAGATAAACATCCACATAATTTCAATTGTTATTTTTTTTCCTTCTCGAAGGAACAAGCTTTCGTTATAACAAATCTTAAAATCTAGAAATATAAGATCATCTCCAGCGCTGCTCTATTGTGGAGTAAAACTCCACTTTAACTGCTCCAGCCCTGCGCTACAAATACACGTCATTCTACAGATTGCTACAATAACACACTATATCTAGCGTGTAATTGTAGCAACGCTACAAATTTTTTTTTAATGATTAAATTAGATTAAATTAGTTTGAAGTAAATTAAATTAATTTGAAATAAATTAAATTGTAAGATAGATAAAAATATATTAAAATTTGATAAATAAATATACTAATTTTTTAAAATATAAAAATACAACAAATATAAAAACATAAATTTTTTAATGATTAAAGTAGATTTAGACAAATTTCTAGAATGTTGAATTTGTTGAAGATGATGAGACTCAATTTTAAGAATTTTTTATTCGATTTAGATAAATCAAAGATGTAAATGCTCATTTTACTCTACGAAATGTACTAATTGAACATTTGTGAAATAAATATTCTAATTCAAAAAATTAAAATATATAATTATGTAATTTATGTTTTTTGTATTATTATTATGAATTGTAATTTTTTTATTTATTTATATTTTCACAACATTATTTATGAATATTTTATTTATACTTTTTATCTTGATATTTTTTTTAAAAATATATATGTTTTATTTTATATTTTTAAAATTAATATTATAATAGTTAAATATTGTGAATAAAGAAGAATTAGTAATAATATAGAAATAACGTTGAAGATAAATTATTGTTTTATTTCTAGAATAAAATTAGAGATACACTAAAATAAAAATGCACTAGAATAGAAATGAGTGCTGGAGATGATCTAAGGGCATAAGCATGAAAGTAGACTAAAAAAGGACCGTAAATAACACTAATAGATTCCGTTACAAAACCCATGAACTTCTATGGACGCTAACAAATTTCTCCCTTTGATCCTGCAAGAAAAAACGAGCAGACAACCATTGAGAAACTTAAATTCTTATAAACACTTACACAGTACCCATGAACAGACTCTTAAATCATAATAACCTAAAGAACCTGCCACTGCAACTGCCAAAAACTCCATTGCAGTGAGCTCTTACAAAGACTACACAAAGAAACCCAAATTAAGATTTTAAAATAGAATCCCAATCGATCTCATAAGATGGGTATTTGGACAACATAAAAGACTCAGAAGAAGTAACAACTTCCGGCCACGGCTTCTCGTTGAAGTCCGAGAGAGTAAGATCGGAAAAAGGTGAAGATTCCGTCGACCCCTCATTTTCCGACTGAACCGGAGACGAAGATAAGGGGGAGCTCTCCATTTTCACAGTCTTCTCCTCGGGCTTTTCCGATTGGACTTTGTTCTCCTTTGATGATTTCGTCTTCTTGTTGCTCCCTTGCTTTTGGTTCAGTTCCAAGCTTTCGCAAATGGCTTGAAGCTTGGCATCGACAGAGGAAAGCAAAGGCTTGTATTCACCGAAATCGCCTCCGATATGGGAACCATGGTGGCGAAGGTTGGGGAAGTTGAGTCTCGCTAAGTCACCCCTAAGTTTATAGGATGCTTTGTCATAAGCCAAGGCTGCTTCCTCGGCCGTATCGAAAGTGCCTAACCAAAGCCGGGTACGGTTCTTGGGTAGCCGGATCTCAGCGACCCATTTTCCCCAGTGACGTTGCCTAACTCCTCTGTAAAGCTTGGTGGGTTTTGGTGGTGAAACCATGTGTTTCATTGGGACTGTTTGGGGGCTAAGAAAGCTCACCATGTGGTGGTGGTTGTTGGGTTGAGGACTTTGATAAAGGTAGATTGGTTGGTTGAATTGGTTCATCTGAGCTTGGGTTAAATTGTTTAGCTCAATTGTAGAACCAAACTGAGATTGTTGAACACCTAAAAATTGATAAACTGTTGGGAAATAACAAGTGTTCCCCTCAAGTGCTTGGGAAGAAGAGAAAGAGAGGTAGGAAGGGGAAGGTGAAGGGGGAGAAGCACTTTTCATAAAAGGCTCAAGTGCTTCCATCAACTCTCCACCATTGAAGCTGCTACTATAGAAATCCATTGTAGCTGCCATTTCTTTTTTTTTAAATGAAGTAAGCAAAGATTGAAACCAGAAAAATAACACGGAGAAATCAAAGATAAGTAACCCGATTCTTACCAAAATTTAAGGACAGGTTTGAAAACCCAGGAAAGGCTAATGAGGTTTTTTATTCAAATAGATAAACCCCTTTAAATCCAAGATAGCATAAAAGAAATCAAGCTTCGGGTATAAAAAAATCACCCTCCAAGCTGATTTAATCAGAAAAAAATAGAAAAAAAAACTGGATCTCGATTCTGAAAACACCTGGTTTTTGAAGAAAACCTTATCTAAGTTTGCTTTCAATCCACTGTTAATTACTGAAACAAAAACAAACCAGAAAATCAGTATTTTTTTCAAACACCGATGATTAACAGAAAGGGATTCCGAGAAGCGGGGATTAACAGATGAAAGGGGGGAAAGATTTTTTAAAAAAACAAAACAAAACCAGAAACAGTCAATCTGTTTACAACTCGCAACTCAATTTTTTTCTCTCAATCTTTTGGGTGAATAACTCACTAAACTGTGGGTTTTTCTCACCTCCTTCCTTGGGCTTATATAGTGGTTCAACTCGTTGATTAACTCATCTAATCACAGCTGTTAGCCATGATTAACCCTCTGTTTTAACCTAAGGCAAAACAAATTTTATCTTAATTTTGAATAAACTACTCATTTAGTATCTAAACTATTAATTTTTATCCGTTTTAATACTTAAATTTCAATTTTTTTCAAAATCATATATTTTGTTTAATTTTAGTTCCGCCATTAAAAACATAATGTGTTTAGTATCTAAACTATCAATTTTGATATGTTTTAGTATCTAAACTTTTAATTTTTCTTTAAAACTTAATATTTAATTTTGAATGGGGTACTAAAATAAAACAAAAACTAAATTTTAAGTATGATTTCAAGAACTTGAAAGTTTAGGTACTAAAACAGATAAAATTGATAGTTTAATTACTAAACTCATAATTTATCCTTCAATTTTTACGTCTCTCTGTAATTTTATATTAAAAACCTCAAATAAATAATTATTTAAAGAAATAATACCCTCTAGAAATTATTTGAAAGAATAAACCCCAAATCTTTCACATCAGATGACCTCGTGGCCTGCAAACCACGTGTTAAATCCTTGCACCCTTCAACACGCGAGATACATCCAACGTTGGCGTAATTTCCAAGTAAACCAATAAAACAATTAGATAAAATGACCTCGCGCATTGTGAAACGCGATGTAGCCTTTATGATCCAAAATATCGCGAGATTTATGAAGGACTTCGCGACCAATAAAGCGTGAGATTCTTTGGTATTTCGTATAACAACTTAATTTAAAATGTAGAAATTAAATGAATATAATAAATAAATTTAATAATATTAATTATTAAACATAATAAATAATTAAAATATAATAATATATAAATGTAGTAATTAAAATTGATATTTTATAAAAATAATTATAATATATTTTGTAAATTTTGAAATAATGAAAAGTTATATGTGTAAAATATTAAATATAATAAATAATTAATAAATATTATAATTACAATATATTTTGAAATTTAAAATATAAAGTAATCCTGCATCTTACAAACAGCAAGAAGGGCTATAAATAGGGTCCTCCACTCCTATTCATCGCTACACTCATCACTTTCATATATTAAAAGATTCAAAGATTTCATATCATGGCGGTGAGTCTATTAAGACATGATCAAAGTCACGAATTCTATTATTGTAGGTAAAATGATGAGGTAAATTAATTAATATTATTTTATATTTTTATTATTTATTTGTTAATTTAGTCTATTTTGTTTTGGTATTTAAATAATTTTTTAATATTTATATTTCGTAGGGATATGAATGTGTATTAGAGTGTCATAAATCGTGTGACACTATCCGGTGCAGATATTATTGACTATTTACATTTAGTGGGTTTCGGATAAATCAGTAATATAACTGGTGAATGTGTGAAGTTGCATCCTCCACTTATAAATGTGTTGGTGGAAATATGGAGAATGGAGACGCACATTTTTCATTTATCGTGTGGGGAGGCAACTATTACCCTTCAAGATATTGCATTTCATATGTGATTTCCTATTAATGGAGTAGTTATTACTGGTGTTGTCGGCGCCCCTAGAAATGTATGTGAGGTATTGCTTTGAATTGATCCGCCAGATGATGTACGCGATGGTGGAAAAATAAAAATTAAATTTTTAGATGAAAATTTTACGAACCTACCCCAGAATGCGGAGCATGAAGTGAAGGAGGTAAATATAAATGTTTTTATATATGAATATTTATTAATATTTTAATTTTTTTTTTAGAAATTAAGTAGTTATATTATTTTATTATTGTTTGAAGTGATTTGCTCGTGCACATATACTACAAGTTATTGGGGGATTTTAATGCGAGGTAAATCCCGAAATAAGGTGCATCTGATGTAGTTGAATCATTTACAAAATTTGAGTGATTCAAGAAATATAAGTTAGGGGTCGGTAGTTTTGGCATTTTTGTTCCAGCAACTTTGTAGAGTCGTAGATCCGACAAAAAATATCATTGGAGAGTGGTTATAATTGTTGTAGTCGTAGGCTTGGATTCTAATGCCATTTTTATGCATGATCCTTAAAACACATATCTCATATGAATTTTCGTTACTTAAGAGGTAAAAAAATAATTTTTATCTACTTTTTTATAATATTACTAACAAACAATACAAATTTATTGTATTAATGATAGGTGGACTGATGAAACCTCTCACGCCCCTTACCAACACATCAATGAGACTTTAGACTCTTGATCGATATGTTTGGACATCAAGTAATAAAATATTTTCCTTTGACTTTTATCATATAATTTTATAATAATTTAATTTATTTGGGTTTTTAGCTAACAAAGTTGTGTAATTTTAATTTTATAATTCTTGTAGATGACTTACTACGATGTTGCTATTGCCTACTGTATACCGCATGAGATTCAGGTGACTAATGTGCTTGTGTACATCGTGTCAGTCCCGCTGATCTTGTATGAGATAGTCAAATGACATCATATCGAGTGCGTCATTCGACAATTTAATTGTATTAAATCGATTCTGCCACATTCATCTTAATTGGATCAGTTGCATCAATTGACATGACAAGGGATGATGAAATTAATTTGGTGGACCATAATGCGGTGTATCTTAATGAGTGGGTCCAAATATTCGAGAGGAAACCCATAACTCAATCCATCTTCAACCACAGCGTGACATACAATTATATGCAGTGGTATCAAGAATATGGGATGCCACATATATTGACAAATAGAGAGCGAGCACGAGAATTATATGTTCCTCCATATAGTCGCCCACGGACGGGGAGACAACGTGGGAGAGAGTCAAGGAAGAGAAGAAGATGACAACAATGTACATCCTCCTCATCGACAACAACAAATGAACCTCATTAGACACTACTAACACACTCTGACCCTATCTTCACCCACTCATTTCAATCAGTATTTCAACAAATAGGAAAATTCTCAGAAGGTTTCCTCACTAACGTCTTTGACCAGTTCAATTCACCATCGACACAATTGGCGACTAACTTTGGATCCAGTATTGTTGAGCAGACGCCGTCGCAGAGTATATTCTACACTGGTCCCAGTTCTAGTGTCAATGGTGGATCGATTCCATATACAGTTGCCGATCCTGATGATGATGATATTGTTGAAGAGGAAGAAAAACCACAATTACATCCGCGTCGGACTCATCGTCCACCACGATGCAAAATTAGTGGACATAGACATTATTATTTGTTATTTATTTCGTTCTTCAAAATTGAAATATTTGTACTAAACTATTTTATTTTGTGTTAATCATAATATTTTATGTTATACGAACTATTTTATTATTTTGTACTAAATTATTTTTATTTTGAGTTAATTGAGCAATTGCAATTTATCGAACAGTTTTTAGTTATGCGAACTATTTTCCATTAGTTGATTCATATTGGGAGTTATTTTTCTAATAAATTAATAAATATGTTTCAGTGAAAATCGCACCCTGCATCACGCAATATCTATAGTATGTTAGCGGGACCACACATCTTGCAAAACGTGCGATATCATGATCTCGCACTCTGTAAACCGCGTTATTTGGAAAATTGCATCTTGCAACTCACGAGGTTCTTGAGGACCAATAAAATAACCGCAATTCAATATTATCTGGCAAAAACTCAGCTAAAATGTCGAGGAGAGCAAACCTTACTGCTTTGATATATTAAGATGGAGAAATGATCAGTGATGCATCTCTCGGTGTCATGTTTCAGTCCGCATACACTGTGACAATAACGCTACCAGTGAAGTTAATGTATAATAATTTAATGAAGGAAGTGAAGAAAAATATCCCACATACTCGTGGTACAAAATTGTTACCCTTGAAGTATCGATTACCAACGTCGTTAGAACCATTAACGTACACGATATACATTGTTGAGGACAATGGTAATGCGCATATGATTGTCGACGCTCACTTGCAATATTCATTTGGAGGGTCGATGGAGTTGTATGCATTATTTTCTGATACTGATAATGGTACCAGTGTGCCAAGTTGGAGACGAGCAGAGTTCAGCTTTGATCCAACTGTTGACAGTCCGACGATAAATTTGAGAAATGACTTCAATTTGTTAAGAACACACGGTACACAGAACGATTTGGGTGCATCATTGTCTTCGATGCCAAGGCTTTCTTGCGGTTCTAAATTCGAGTTTGACTTGAACATGCCACCAACGCAACAATCCACGTTTAACCCGTTTGATTATTTCTCATATAGACGATATTCAACGTACATCCCTTCTGCGGATAACGTCTCAACACATATAGGGAGACATTATTTTACTGGTGTGCGTGACGTTGATCTTAGGGAACCGATTTGTGAGCGGTCTCGTGATCGATAAACACCTGCAGCAGCGACTAACTTTGATTTAAATAAGGCTGAACTATTCCGCTTTGAGAAGGATAATTCTGACGAAGAACCAACAAAGGAGTCCAACCACGATGGTGATGAGTTAGGCCCATTCTATGAAGAACCATAAGACCTTGACGTGCCACCAGAAGCATAAGACAACAAAGAATACAACATGGCTACAACGGTTCCATATGCTGTAACGCCTATTTCTTATTACATGTCATCATCGCACTTTACAACAATTGATATAGAAGCATTCAAAACTTCAAAATTTTCCCAATTCTCACACATTGAGCAATACAATCAATATAGTGATGGTGATCTCTATGTTGAAATGGTTTTTAGGTTAATATAATGTTTTAATTTTTCATTATTTGTTTTGATTTGTTTATTGGTAAGTTGACAATTTTATTTACTCTTTTTATGAATGAGTTTTAGGACAAAAGAACAAGTTGTGACTGCAATAAAAAACTACAATATACGTTACTCTGTCATGCCAATTGTGAAAAAAATGATGCGGATAAGTACATCACTAAA